ACAAAGAGACACAAAACAACTACAAAGAGACACACAATGACAACAAAGAAACCCTGCAATTTCAAAGTGACACAAAACAACCACAAAGATACATTATGTTTGTTGATTGCATAATAAAGACACAAAAGTGACCCCACATTATTTCAACTTAACTGAAAAGTGATTAAGGACAACACTGCAGAAAAGGGAAAATAAATAAGTTTGACTGGCGTCTATCACAAAGTTATATTACGAGCTGAGTTGACTTTCTGAATCATCAAACTTTACGTGTCAACGGTTTTCATTAGTCTGAAATGTGCCTCTAATAAGGCGCTAAATGCTCTTTGAAATGTCCCTTTTATTTATTGATATGACTGATGTGTGCACGCCACTATAACGCATTTAAACCAGTTGCATAAGCTCAACTCTTTTGCATCTGTCCTGCATTAGCGCAGCACCACAATCCTCTCTGTCGATGCAGTTCTGACTCCGGCGGCTTCGGAGCCCTTCAGGTAACGATCCGATGAGTCATGGCTGGTGACGATATATATAATGCAGATGTTCTGGGTTCATGCAGTGCGGGATTCCCGTCAGTCTCGTGGTGCTCGGGAGGCCTCTCGCTGATGAACAAGCTTACAGGAATGTTCCATCTCGTCCATCTGTGATCCTCTCTCGTCTCTTGGCTGACCTGACTTGCCCCTTGAAAGAGTTTTTGCTTTGGTATGACATCACCATGGACGGGGAGATTTTCACAGAGATGTCTTAAAGGAATGCACATTTGATGACCTTTTGACCCACGAGGCTTTTCCTGAGATGCCTTTCAAAATAAAAGCCCTTGATGAAGATCTTTTGTTAAGACATCCATCATTTTTTCTGACACTTTCACCTTTGTCTTACTAACGCCAGTCGATGAGATCCAGCCACTACTGAAGGTTCACTCAACACAATGAGACCCACACAGTCGGTACTATTCTGTCTTTGTACCAGACACACATGCAGAGGTCTTTAGTTCATTTTGAAAGTGCCACTTGTCCAAATTGCACCAAATTTCGACCAAACACTGCCCGATTCCTGGCTCTATAGTTAGATAATCCATGAAAACAGATTGCACTGCATGCTTCCACTGCAAGAAGCCTGCGGTTCTTGAATTATCTTTGGGAGCTAGTTATGAAAGCCACAAACTTTTGACTCTCCACTGACCCCGATACCAAGTCCTAGCCTCAGGACTGGACTTGGTACCCAGACATGCATTGCTCTGTAGTAACTAGATAAGGCCGAAGAAGAGGAATTACTTAAAAGTTGCTCAATTCAAAATTCAGAGCGTATATATTGCCTCTACGCGCCTCTCAACTAAGAGTTGTCTGAGCCGGTTCGCGGTGCAAGCAACGCAAACAACGGCAACAGTGCTGTCAGAGCTGACAGTGTCACCCCGAGGGGCAACCGGAGGGTGGGCTTTATTAATGCTCCGTATATCCCGTAGAGAACCTTTAAGTAATCTGTGGATTGCTCCACGTAACATACATTATATGTAAACCACACCTGCTGCCTCTTCATATCCCGTCTACGTTGTATAAGTGGAACTGTTCAGGTCAAAGACAGACTGCAGCACACAGACTCTGCTGCTTGATAAAGCCTTATCTCACCGATGAAGTTCATTCACACACTGTGGCATTGACACACACACACACACACACACACACACACACAGACACACACACACAGACACACACACACCCAGTGACCTCTTTGCCTCTTTAAACCCTTTTTTTTACCCAGCTGTGTGTCTTCATGTTGCCAGTCATTGAATGTTACGATCACATGTGCGGCGTCCAGTCCACCTTACTCACATAATCTGCACATGTATGTGCAAAAGAGGAAGAAGAAGAAGAAGAAGAGGGAACGTCCACAAATAAGGAATGTGTTGGATGGCCTCATTTTGGGAAATTGCTTGTTTTTTTCTGCAAGTGTCACATTTCGTCCAGAAAAGACAGATAAAGAGAGATTGAGAGAGAGAGATTGAGAGAGAGAGAGAGAGAGAGAGAGAGAGAGAGAGAGAGGGGTGGACTGTGACTCCTTCTCCCTCCCTCCTTGCTTCCTCTCCCTGTGGGATCGGGGCCAGTCCGTATAAAGGAGAGCACAGCCTCCTCCTCTGCCGGGGTCACAGCTGATCCAGGCTGACTTGAGGGAAACTTCCAGCAAACCGGTGCAACTAATTCAAACCTCCACGCAAAGCCTCCAGACTACCAGCAGGCCCAGAAGAGTCCTACAGAGAGCGTTGGGAGATCAGGGAACCCAGCTGCTTCGAGATCGACTGAAGAGCCTCAGTCTTCACTGGTAAAAGAGAAATCTGTGAAAAGATGCAGGAGAAAGGTTTCCTCACCCAAAGGAAAGCAGCGGTGGCACTGTGCATCGTGCTGCTAATGCTGGCTCAGCAGGTGAGTGCATTGTCCCGAAAATCTAAAGTGAATTTTGTTCTCTTGTGTTCGAACACACCAGTTATTTTTGAGGTTGTAAATATTGGAAAACATTTTCTCTACACTGTAAAACAAATGTTTGTTATGTTGATACGGGGGAAAGTATCAGGATGACTAGAAAGGGTCATTTAAAGTCTGGACACAAGTGAGAAAATGCGTTTTATAAGTGCAAAGAAACCCACTGAAAAACAGGGAACTACTGAAGAAAAGTACTGCAATTGTGCTATTGCAAGGCACAAATATTAAGGTATAAATGTTCTATTCAAATACATTTACTTTTTGATGAAGTGCTTTCATTTTGAGTGTTAAAATTTACCTTAGCAGAGAAATCTTAACTCAAGGTCCACTTTCCAGCTGATGAAGAACATTAGATATGGTAGAAAGCTCCAGAGCTAAAGCTAGTAAATGATTTGTTTTGTTCAGTGCATCTAAATGGAGTTCTTTGCGCCTCGTTTTGTTCCTTTCTAACGAACATTCCCGTGTGCATCTGTCTGTGTTCGATACCAGGTGTGTGCAGGTCCGATGGTGCCTCAGGTCCGGTCCAGCTCCGACCAGAAGGCAGAATCAAAGGTCACGGTGCTGAGAAGGATAGCTCGGATGACCCCGCTGTGGAGGATCATGAACAGTAAACCGTTTGGAGCTTACTGCCAGAACAACTACGAATGCTCCACGGGACTCTGCAGGTACATTTTAAAGTATACAATACCTGACTCAAGTGACAGTTCAAGGGAATTGTACTCAAGTGGAGGTAAAAATAATGGTGTAAGAAGATAAAGTACATGTAAAAAGTAGCTAATTCAGGTTGCAATATAGTGTAAATACAATTAATTTCTTTATATGATGTATCACTTGTAAGATCTCAGCTGCATAACAATGTCCAATTTGTATTGTGTCGTAGTGCGTTCATTTATGGCATCAATGAACGTCGTCTCACAGCTGTTTCTTGGTTTCCCTCTCTTCAGGGCGGGACGCTGCTCCACCAGCCACCGCTCCACCTCAGGGCCCGTGAACTACTAGACGTCCGAGTGGGAAACAACCAGCGTGTTTACATGTATATTACACATGGCCATAGACCTTATGAAAAGGATCTCATCAACTGGGATTTTCTAATCGTTTTTAAAACAAAATATTTATGTGTGCCAATACGTTGCTGATAATATCGAATATATGTTTATATGCTCCACTCGATGTATTTCAAAAAGGTAAAAAATGTGAACAATTACTCACATTAAGATGAGAGGAGGGTTGAGGCAACGCGCAAAAATGTAAGACGGGAGTCATTTTAAACTCGATGTTTTCCATCATGTGGTCATCTGCAAACAAATACTTGTTTGTACCAAAATCCCTTCGCCTTGAACTCTCTGTGAGTCAAAATACAAACAAAAAAGTACTTTTTTCTCAGTTATCTCCACATATGATGTAAAGTCTGATGTTTAACTAGCTTGATAACAAGGTTTTACTGGCATCACTGATATCATGACGCCTTAGAAGTAACGTCTTAAAAACAACTATGTGGAACAGATAATGATGGATGTCAAGGGGAAGACAACCTCGACATTTTGACCACGTTTTGATAAGTTATGACTTGACTGTGTGCGTAGAAGGTCTAATCACTACCACTGATAATGTGTCTCATCTTACATATAAACGTCGCCTTCTTTCCCCGAAGAGAAATCATTTGAGTTAGTTTGCAATCGTAACCGTTTAAATTACTTCTGGCATTCTTTATAGCGACACTTTTATGTTAAACCCAAGATCTTGTCAAAGTTAGTCAATGGCAACATTATTCATAACATATGTTATGAATGTGTACTGATTTGGTGTAATGCAGTGATTCTCATAATTTATTTATTTTATCCTCTGTTTAAAACTGTACCCATTTATTTTCTTTTTGTTTTGTGATATTTTAATGGTTTTGTTTTAGAATAATCAATCACTCCCGACTTGATTTATTTCAGCTTTCTCCAGCAGGAACTTTAAGAAATGTTAAATCTGTAACCAAGAACCAATTTAACAAATAGTTGCACAGCCTTTTTCTTCTTTTTTTTTTGCACATCCATCTCCTCACATCGATAAGCGATTGTGGATTTCGCCTGCACGGTTTACTTCACGCACAGAGCAGGTGGTTGCTGATATTTTGTACACTCAGCGTTGAGAAATGTTTGAGTAGGATTGCACTTTTGAAACCCGAATTATCTTTGTACTGTGCACTGTAAGTACTGTATTACTTACATGTAGAAGGCTGGGGGAAGAGTGGAATAAAAGCATTGGGGGGAAAAAACGCATTTGTTCCTAATTTAAAATAATGTACGTTAAAGCACATGACTGGTCACATGTATAGTTCCTTAAACAGCTGGGCATTGTAGTCTTGCAAACATTACTCATACAGGTAAAAATATTGCATTTCTTTGAGAATATTTTGAGCTGCTGATTAATACACATATATTGTTACTATTAAGATGTTACAACATGCAGCGAAACTAAAATAAATCACAAGTTACTACCATTCTCCCATCTGTTACCCTGCAGCGAGGAAGAATATTACAGAAAAGTACAGAAAAGAGAAATACTGAGAGAAAATATTCAGACAAAAGCAAACAAACCTTTTGGAACTTGGAGTGTAAAATCAACTGAATTTATCTATTGACTTTCGAATGTTCCTCTGCTCTTTTATCAGTATGACCTCACCGCAGGATGTTTCATGAGTGATAAAGGTATTTCAAGGAATACATCGCCTGTTTTTATGACTCAATTTGACACACAACGACTTTTAACATCACATAAACCTGTTTTCTGGAAATACAGGAGTTGCAAAACAAAAACCACCCGAAAACAAGACTTATAAAATATAAATATGCTCAGCAGGTCCGTCCTGGATGCTCACGAGTTTCGTGAACGACGTACTGAACGCTGCTTGGCTTCAGCCAACACCGGCACTAATCTGAAAGGGATTTAAAACCCTATTTAATCACATTTTTCTTTGTGCGCTAACTCGAGACCGAAACTGCATGTCAGGGTTCAAATGTCAAACAGCTGTTGGCGTTTCTGGATGTTTCGGGCTTTCGCAACGACAAGAGACGAGTCATGAGAAATGTGTGTTCCCTCTGTGTGTGTTTAGTGAAGGTCCATGCGAGTTATCTGTGTCTACATGTCAGAGTTAATACAAATACACTTATTTTATATCTATTAACTCACTTTAAATTAGTGCGTGTGGGAGGATAGCATCAGAAGTGACCACATACGTTTAGTCGAAGGTGTGTTTTTGTGTTTAGTTCCACTTGTGGAAACAGGTTGGGGAAGGATTTTAACGTGACAACAACCTCGTGCCCAAAGCCCGGTCCACAAAGAAATAGTTTTCAGTTTGATGTAGAAAAATCAGCCCAGTAATCCTCGATATTACAAACATATCGGACATGTTTGTAGGTTGACGTGGTGGGTGGGCATGTAGCATGTGCATAGATATACAAATAGGAGTAGAAGGGACATTCAATTCAACGAAGCTGGATGGACAGAGCGGCGGCCATTTTGATGTGTAGCGTTGCCATTGTGACCGGTGCTACCTGTAACCAGTGTAGCATTAAAGCATGGTGGAATTAGCTAGCTAGCGGACAGCTGGGTAACATAAAATGAGCCAAACAGCGCCTCACACCCCGTTGCTTTTGAAGATGAACGGTGCAAACTCGCTAACACTTTACTGACGTGGTTGTCGCCACCAACAACAATTGCCATTTCGCCATTTGGCGAAATTTCATTTTGTACTAGTCAAACAGCAGCGGAAATTGTTCGATGTTCGTTCTACTCCTATTCTATTTCTATGTTGCAGAGTATACACAGAAATATAATATTGTATAAAATGAAAAGAATGAGGAATAAACATACAATATGGACATAGTAGGCAGTGCTGGTATGTATAGAATAAATGATGCACATGTGTTTTACACGTTTACTGCTCCTGCTCTTAGACTTAATCAATATTTATCAGTATTAGTAATAGAAGTAGTCTTATCTTAATATTTGGATATAATGAGTGAGTTGGGAGAAGGGGCTTTTATTTATTTATTTCCTTTTTTATCTATTGTTCTGTCTGTTTTGTTTTAATTGAAAATATGTAACATGGAGATTTGACCCTGTACAACACTTTTGGGGACAAATCAGAAGCCAGACCTCGTTGCTTAACATCAACGTTTGAGCCTCACTGATGCTCTTGTGGCTGAATGTCAAACCCTTGCAGCCAAGGCCTGAAACCAGAAGAGGACAGGCTGCAGATTAACGTCCACGGTTGTACTGTCGCTGGCATCCACATACTTTTGGCCATATATTTAGCGCACTAGGGTAAATGTGAGTAATTAGCTGTTATCACATCAAAAAAACACTGTTGCCCCAGTGTCATATCAGTGCTGCTTTAAAATATGTGTTTACCGTTCCTTCGTGTCATATTGTGAAAAGCTCCGGCGACCCCGATTTTGAACTTGGCAGCTTCGCCCACATCACTATCCATCAAACTCTGTCTGGGAGTCATCTGGCACCTCTCGCCTCGCACACTGTGTTCTTTAGTCAAGCTGTCCTGGCCAACATTTCACTGTGTGAAAGTCTTCTAGACGTATATGGTGATGGCTATATTTGGTGAAATGTTAGTCCCTCTAAGCCCTACCGGTGAGTTTGGCTCACCTAATCTATCATATTATTAATCACACCTGTTGCTTTTCCTGCTATGACACATTCAAATGTGAGAAAGGAAACTCCACCCGATTAAAACAACCTCTAATTTACAGAAATGATATTCCATTGGTTTTCAATGATCAACACAAACTTACATAGAAAGCTATGATATATTCGACTTACTGCCTTAAAATCAAGCCATTAAAGATGCCTCACGTCAGCCTCATACTGCCGTTCAAGGTAATAAAACCCGAATTTAATGGATATTAGTGTTAAGATGACAAGTTGTCCCATGGAGCCAATATACAGCTGGTCAGTGGCCTCCCCTCCACTTCTTTAACTGCTGACACTGTTCAAACATTCAGACAATACTGACTGCATGTATGAACAATGATAAGTGTTGTTTGCCATCTTTACCATGAGTTTAGTTTTTCTGTTTAACACGAGAGTGCTCCGGCCTGTGTTGCAACGATCCTGACGGATTAATGAATTTAATGTTCTTCCTGAACTTTCCTCTCATAATCTTGTAAAAGAGCAAAGTTTTAAAGTTGCATTGCGTTTGGTTGGTTGAACGGCTGACCTTACTAAAGAGTAAACAAAGGTCTACAGCCAAGCTAACAGCCTGCATTACTCTCTTTTACAAACATTAGCATACTGTACATTATTAAGCTTCCACCAACAGAACATGACAATCTAAAGTTCCTTTCACACAGTTGGTTGCTTTTACATGAAGGTAACAAGGAAGTTAGCTTCGCACTGGTTCCCTCGACAGAAAGTCAAAGTGGATTTTCAACATTGGATTTTGGATTATTGCGAAAAATAAACACAAGTTTATGGTACTTACTCGTTTTTGTTCAGCAAACATGAATAAAATCAGCAGAAGTAAAAACACTAATATTAGGCTCTAAAGGGACTAGAACGACAACAACAAGGCTGTAAAGGCAGACTAGTCGGCGTAATTACTTTTTTAGTCTCCGTTAGCCGTTTGTTAGCAGGCGGCAACCTCCGTCCGAATATGGTGACTTCTATTCATTGGTGGCGAAAAAAACGACATGGTGACCGCCGTAATCCAAGATGGCGGTGGCAAAATCCCCTAACTCGAGGCTTCAAAACGGCAGTCCGCAAACCAACGGGTGACGTCACGATGACTACGTCCACTTCCACTTCCTACAGTTCTGATATACAGTCGATGTTTAGAACTCATTCCTGCAGCACACTATTAGTTTTGACTGAATAACATTCAGAGACATTCTTCCAGCTGTTGCGCAGGTCAATCTTATCAGTCCATGAAAAATATTTTCCTCTTTGTCCTCGGTGACAGGGGGCTAAAAACATGTCAAAAACAAAACAACAACTTGCACAACCACAGCAATAAATATACTGTAGAAATGAAAAAGAGTTGTAATCAACATTACCATTTAAGTTGTTTGAATTAAAAAAAAAAACATAAATTTAACAGATAAATGATACAACGTTACGTCCTCCGTGTCTGAACGTTAACGTTAGCTAGCTCAGAATTAGCGTCTGCAGCAGCTAACGGTTAACGTTCGTTAGCGATCAGCATCCACAAAGTTTTATATTCACCACAAGCTACAAAGGAAACTAACACACTGAAGGCACCTATGCAATGTTAATATTGTAATATTCACAAACATATTTATAAAAAGGGTAACCGTAGATAAAAACAATTGTTTGCATAACTAATTTTCTTGGCAGTGTTAAATTGAGTAACGATCATCAAAGTCTTAAATGTTTCAGCCGAAATGAATTTGATTTTTTTGTTGAAATATCGAGTCTGGACCAAAGTCTAAGGTACTTCAAACACATCTGATTTGACTTACTGATGACATAATTCAGTTTGCAAGCTTAATGGATGACTGAATGACTAAATGCTGACTGCTGCAAACTGGGTCATCATGTTCCACATTTGAATTATCTTGGACCTGAGGACTTTATGTGTGCGTGTGTGATGAGTGTTAGAAGTCAATACCTCCAGGCCTTTGTCTGTGTTTATTCCCGTCTGGTAGCTTTTTTTACCCCCAGGTCATGTATTTTGGTGTCTGTTTAACAACAGCAAACTTTGAACTCTGAACACCACGTCTCAAAGTTTATGTCATTTATTTCACTTTTTCTGACTGAGTTTTTAATATTGATTTTAAATGTCTCCGGTTCTTCGTCGGTCCACACTACCACACACTCCTGGAGATTTGATTTTTGAATTTTGATCATTTAAGTAAACAACAAACAATGTATTTGTAGTTGTAGTTGTTGTCGTACATTGTATGAAGAACACTTTTATCACAAAGATGAAAACGTGTTTGTAGAAATGAGACTCAACCACTAAAGACGCTGGAGTTCTTTCTTTTATTTATGCAAAATTGGGCCTTTGAATGTTTTATTTTCTCTAAAAGATATTGTTAAATGTGACTGTTTTAGGCAAAAATAAACTGTCAACACAACATCATGTAGGGCGATAAAATTAACAGACATAACGATGAAAGTCAGATCGGACACGCCCAGATATTCAAACATGTACGTCACAGTCGGACCAAAAACAAAGTTTTACGAAGAAAATGTGTGTAAAAAGGCAATAATAGAGCATCGATACTCAGTTTTGGGCTTTAGCTGCAACATTCCTTCTGTTTTCAACTTTGCTTTGGAGACTCAAGTTGAAAAGTTTTTTCACAAGACAACAAACACACAGCTGCCCTCTGTTTTTTGTTTTTTAAAGCTAGCTGGTTATTTTTACTTTGTCATATCTAGAAGACACTTTATGAAGCTTTATTAGTCCCACAGCAGGAACATCTACAGTGTTACAGATTTCATGCATTTTCTAATTTTGCAGATATTTCTCTTTTCCACTGATCGTTTTTGACAGGCTGAAGAAAAGTGTGATGATATCTGATATATATTAAAAAGATGTTTTGGAAAGTTGCTCTGAATTTCTATGAAGCCTTGATATGTCTTCCTTCTGTTGTTGCTTGTGTAAAGTGGCATTTCATTTCTTCACCTTCTGAATGCTTGATGTACAAAACACTGTTCACGCACGTTGTCCCTTCATTTACAGTCACTACTCCACATTGTGCTATAAAATAAAAGCAGAAATACTCTGGTCAAAGTTTATCTGTCTCTGACTGTGCTGAGGTTGTTGTAATATCTCTCCGTACAGCAGATAAGATTTTGAGGATGGCCCTGACCCATGAAGTCATAATGACGTGAGAGTAAGAGCTAGATCTGTGCACATGTAGCGCCACCTGCTGGAGGCCGCAACACATCTGCAAACAAAACATTTCAGCTTTCACACAGTCGTCATTGTGCAGTTCTGACCTCACTGAATGAAAGCTTCAGTTCAGAGAAAGGGACATTTGATAATGTAATATTGATATTTTGCATTCTGAGGGAGTTTTAAAAAACATCCACAGTACTTTTTTGTTGTCAAATGAGCAAACTACTGCATCTAAGATGCTCTCTAAAAGTCCTAGCAAACAATAACTGTCCAAACTCAAAGCCCACTTACTTGCTTTTGTTCTGGAGCTTTCAACCATTTCACTCTTTAAAGTCGAGAAGTCTTGAAAGTGTCGAGATCGTGTAAGCAGATCCATCTCCATGAAAAACTCCCATCAGCTGATGAAGACCGTGCGATACAGCTGAAAGCTCCGGAAAAAGCGAGTAAGTAGGTGAAACTTAAATGCACAATATGTAATTTTCTCCCGGTTAGGATTCCTTCGGTGTTCATCGTTCAGGAGGTTTTTAGCGGGAGCCGGGTTACCCACAGTTCTCCTCTTCTCCAAAACTAACGGACTCTGTGATTCAAACCGATAAAAACACTGAACAAAGCAGTTTCACGTTAACGTGTGTTTTGGAGGACGCGGGACGTCCCGGAGGGGCAGAGAGCCGAGCTGATAATTTAAGGTCCTGACGTCCGATGACCAAATAACTTCATGGTTAAAATATATATTTAAAAACCAACAACAACTAAAAAGTGCATCGTAAAAATGTGGCTTAAAAATCAATTTGTGAGAGTTTTTAGCAGAGAAACGCGTCATTGTCAGGCAACTAAAAAAGTGAAATTATAGATGAAAATTGTTGGAAACATTTGGGACAACAAATGACGTTTTTATACATTTCAATGCGAAAAAGTTACATATTGTACCTTTACATTATGACTTGATAAAAGAATTGCTCAGAAACGACTTGTTCTTCTAAGTTTTATTACAGAATGAATCTCAAAAACAAGAAAAACATCCAACAGTTGTTCAGTGGATTCTGGTGTCTAGTGACAGAGAAATGAACGCTTCCTTTCTTTTCACAGTTTATTACCACGTAGAGACGTGACTCACTCGTTCAGCCATGATGGTTTGTAGTTCACATGGAGTCTCACAATGATTGATCAGTCTGGTTATTGTACATTTAAGCAAACGGACATTTCTCACAGTGAACCAGACACTGAATCCTTCAAACCTTTGTGTATTAAATAGTTAAAGGTCAATAAATTGTAAAATATGAGTAAATGGCTTTAAGTTTTACTGCAATTAAACTAAAAAAAAAAAACAACTCAAAAGTTGCAGTTTAGCCAATGAAAGCAGTAAATTTAGGCATTTCCCTTATTTCATCACAAAGATAACTTTAAGCTGAAAACGCTTTAATTTCTACAATAGAAGTTCTTTATGCGTGAAAAAATAAGTTGGTTCTAATATATCAACAAATTTAGTTTCTCTCGCTCACACAACACACACACACACACACACACACGCACACACACACACGCACGCACACACACACACACACACACACACACAGTTAAGGGATTCAAGAAATCTCCCAAATAGACCTGCGTCCTCTTTAACACATCTTTTTTAGCTTCCTTTGATTATCATTTTAGAGCTGTAAAATAAATAGTCAATAGATTATTATTATGTAATATTCTTCATTATTTTATACATCGTACAGCATGTAGGACTGGAGGTAAAGTGACATGTTTTATGCGAGGCAATGAGAATTATTTAGATTTTATAAAACTAAATGTTAAATTTGCAAAAAATTACCAAAAAGAGATGCGGAGACAGAATTCTATCACCAAGAGATGCAAAACAGCCAAAAAGAGACGGAAAACCTCTACAAAGTGCTGCAAAACGACGGAAAAGACGGGGCCCTTTACGTCTGGGTCCATTGTCTCATAATCTGTCCATAACTAGAGAACCAGAAGTGCATTAATGCTACAGCGCCTGCAGTGGTTATTTTAACTTGATCTTTACTACCGAGTGGTTTCACCCCTCTCTCTGGTGTCACGGGGTCGACGTCTCACTGCACCGCGCACGACCCGCTGGGCAGGAAGTCCTGCACGTACACCGCCACGGCCTTGGTCAGGTAGGTCATGCTCCCGAAGCGGCCACTGGGGGCGCTGTCGTACAGCAGCCTGCACACTCCCGTGGACGGGTCCCGCTCCAGGATGTGCTCCTCTGCTCCCAGGTCCCTCTGGAGGAGTAAATCCCACCTTACTCACTTCATCACTAAACTACAAAACCCTTGGATTTGTGTCTTTGGACGTCCTGCTCACCTGATCCTTGTGGAACATGTCGTTGGCCAGATGGACGATCTTCTCCACGTGGATGATGGAGCCGATGCTCGGGATGTCCACGTCGGCCAGCATGGTGAGCACCAGGATGGCCTCCACCAGCAGCTGTCGGTACTCGGGCTGAGGGACGCGGTTCAGGACCGTCTCCACGTGGACGGAGAATTTGATCTCTCTTGGTGTCATCTGGAGCGGGGAATTCAGACGGATAAAGACGAGACGATGTCTGACATCTTTCATTTGGCTGAACACACACTGTGTCAGTACTGATTTAAATTTGTGTATCTACACATTCAACTTTTGTAAACTGATCTGCTTTGACTGTGAACTGCTCGTTTACTACCCAAAAATTAAGACATCAAAATACTGACATTGGACAATAAGCAAGTGGATCTCTTACCTCTCTGGTAGTTGATGAAGGAAGGACGAACCCTTCTATGGACAAACCGTGGCACTGGAAAACAATGTGGTCATTACTTTATGTACTAACTGTCTATTTTTTTGCGTGTTGCTCGGCACAAATTATTTTTAGGACGACATTACACTCCAAATCGAAAATTTGGTTTAAACAACAAAACCACCGACGTTAGGTTGAAGCAACAAAACCACCGACGTTAGGTTGAAGCAACAAAACCACCGACGTTAGGTTGAAGCAACAAAACCACCGACGTTGGGTTGAAGCAACAAAACCACCGACGTTGGGTTGAAGCAACAAAACCACCGACGTTGGGTTGAAGCAACAAAACCACCGACGTTAGGTTGAAGCAAAAAACATCACGGTTGGGCTCAAAATAACTATGTATAGCTAGTTTTAGGCAACAAAATGAACGTTAGGTTCACGCAACAAAACCAGTTTAGGTTTAGGAAAAACACAAATGTGTCTTTTGTAAAAACACTTTGGGACTGAAAGAGTTTTATTTGTTGTCTAAAATATGTTTTGCTGCTGCCACCTTTCACAGCAGTACATTGTTCTCTTTAATGTCTTTTGTTGTTTTTGTTTCAACATAAATGCTAAAATTACTACTATTTGGCAATTTTCTGACTTTTCTAGACCTTTGTACATGCTCTACAAACGCGGAGACTCAATGTGTAACAGCAGTTTAGTGTGAACCTTCTGCAGGATCCTCCAGACTTTCTGGTAGAAGCCAACAGGGACCCGGTTCAACGCTCCGTCCAGACGCCTCCTGCGCAGCCATTGGCCCTGTCTGGTATCCTTTGCGACCGGCAAGTATTCCGGAATGTCCAGAGATTCTATGGACTGCAGCCTGTACCTCTAAATTGGCGAAAAAACAAGAAAAATATCAAAAAACGTTGTTTTTGTGGAAGAACAGTGTCCTTTTCCTCTTTCACATGAAACAAGCAGACTCCATATCTGACCTCAATGATGAAGTTATTGGCTTGTATTGAACTGCAGCAGATTTAGCCTACACAACTCAAATTTAATAAGCAAATCTTTACCCCAGATTCAAAGGTTTCTATGTCCAGCGACTGCGATCTAACGCCCTGAGAGGCAGAAAAAGAGCAAAAAAAGAAGGAGAGAAATAGAAAAAAGAGGCACAAAATGAATAAACAGGAAGCCGGGCAGGTGGATAAAAAACAAAACAACCGCAGAGCCAGAGGAGTCTGGCTTCTTACATTAGAGTCACTGCATGCATGGATATCAGGATGGGGAATAATAGCAATGAGGTTAGAAACAAAAACTGATGAAACTTAAACCAAATCTTATCATTATGTAACAGCAATTTAACATATAATAATATTAATATATTTTAAATACATTTTGGAATCAACCCCGGTGACATTTTCAATTAATGAAGATTAAAAGAAACAGCAGATTGATAATGAAAACAACCATTAGTTGCAGCTCTATGAACAATGAATAATCATCAACAACAGATATTTGCAGCCCCGCTCCACTGAAAGTCAGCAGCCACACAGAGTGTTAGAGGCTCATACGTCGATGTTCACGTTAATTACTTCAGATGAATTAACACCCAGAAACATGTTTAAATGTCGGTATCACCGTCACCTTGCGAGTGGAGGTCAGTGACTGGTCGAGCTGAAACATAAGATCCACTCTGCATTAAAAACTTCATACAAACCTGTTCATACCGCAAAAACAAAGTACAGTATTGCTCCTCGTACATTATCTGTAAGTATGTACAAATACACCAATTACTCTTAAGTATCGCAGTCAAGGATCCGTTATTTCAGGGACAATTACCAATTCAACAAGTCCAAACATTTTCAACTAGCGGCATAATCACCATCACCATCATCATCATCATTGATCAAAGACAACCGGACATACACGTACAAATTAATTGTCATTACTTCTTTGAATTAAATTTTCCGCAATTCGCTTCTTACAGCCTCTCTTATCTATGAATTTCATCATCACCTTCACTGAGTCAGTCAAAGACACCCTGCGGTCCATCTGCAACAGAGCAAACACAATGAAACGGGACTATTTGTTGACAACCAGCTGCAAAGTCTTAACCCTAACCCTTTGCTTTCAGACAACTCTTGTGAAAATTCACTCCCTACACCAGGAAGTAACAGAAGTCTCTAAATTGAGAAACAGCACTTGACTTGAGATTGTTTTGGACCAGACGTGCATCAGAGTTTGAGCATCCTCCTCCTGATGATGAAGGCAGTGTGACGCAGCAGAAAGCTCTGGGACACATTTCATTTGTCACCGACAGACCAGCGATGGAGGAAAGATCTCATTGGTGAAGGTGAATTAGCACCTCCAGCATAGTTTAGTATTCTACTTAATTTAACATAATCTATTAATAACCGATGTCTTTACAGTAAAAAAGAATAGAAGAGGAAATAGATGTTCTACTGCGATAGTTAATATTCCTTCATCACCTTAAATGGATCCGTCAAGGACAACCTGTGCTCCGCCTGCAACACAGAAACCAAGATGTAAATAAATCACAGCCACGAAGCTGCTCCAGTGATTTATTTAAAACCAAAGCCCAATCTCAACTATTCATTCATTCATTTCCACCTCGTGATTTCTTTTGCCATCGAAACCGTCTCAAATTATCAGTTATTCTGAATTATTTCCACGATTCTCCTCCGATGCAGAGCCACAATTATTTCCCTTCATCAGCATCAACCAGGTGAATTACCACCTCATCATCATCATCATCATCACCTTACTGGGATCCGTCACAGACAACCTGTGTTCCAGCTGTGAAAAGACAAAAGTCCGTTTGTCCCCCAAAAAATACACGATATTTTCAAAATAAGATCCTCCATCTTCCTTCACCGTCATCACACGTTTGATGCCGTCAGCACTTTGGAGATCAGTACACATACAAGTCAAAAAAACTCCCACAACACATGAGGTAATATCACGATACTAATGTGTAGAATGTGTGTTATAAATAGAACTATACTGTGTTTAATCAGTGGCTTCCACTCTCTCCTCCGGTGAGTGTTTGTACCATCTTCATGTCGCTCTTCAGTTTGCTGATGCCGGCTCTCTCGCTCTTGGTGGCGCCCACGTTCCCCAGGTGATGGATGGAGATGGCAGGACTGACGCCGGCATCCAGCCCTCTGACTGTGGAGACAGAGGAAAGGGAGGGGCTTACAGTAACGGCAACAAAAGCATCCGATTGGCTGTGTGTGCGATGAAGGGGTTTCATGATTGGAGGACTGACCGCTGCGCTGCACGCCAAACTCTTTCCCGCTGAGGATGTGATGGAGGAGATTCTTCAGCTCGGAGGGACCGAGACTCATCAGACTCTCTGTAGCCTCCTCTCCTACACACCATACACACCATACACACACACACACACACACACACACACACACACACACACACACACACACACACACACACACACACACACACACACACACACACACACACACACACACACACACACACGGCAAAAACAAAAGAAGAGATCAAGGTTCCAGCTTCATAAATGTGTGTTTTCATACTCTGCTAGCGGTAAACTTCATATTTTTGGGGTTCTGGACTGTAAACAAGAGGTTAAAAACAGGGATTTTGGGAATTCGCTGACATTTGACGGACCAAACATCACCTTCTTCCTCTTCATCGTCTCTCACCTGAGCAGTTGAGTGACTGGGCCAGCTCGGTGGCCATGACCTGGATGATGAGACCGATCCGGAGCCTGAACATTTCGCTGAACAGGCTGGGCTGAGTCCTGATGCTCATAGCCAGGTACACCATGATCTCCTGCAGGAGGGAGGGGGGAGGGGTTAGAGAGGGAGACAGGAGGACCAACCCCCCCCCCCCAGGTGATGGTGGAGGATGAGACCCACCTGAGTGAGTATGGCCACGCTGATGTTGTTGTCGCTGGCCTCGTCGATGAGAGCCGCCAGCTGGTCTGGAGGGATGGGGGCGCTGATGGTTTTCTCTCGGGGCTCGGGGGGCAGACCCACCGTCAGGTGCTTCTGATGAGCCAGCAAATCAGAGCAGGCCTACGGTCGGATCGCAACCAATCAGGAGAGAGACGAGAGGAGAGAGAGCGCATGAACTGTACGAATGTCACCCGGTCTTATTTAAAGCTGTGTGTGTGTGTGTGTGTGTGCGTCGTACCGAGTCCAGCTCCTCCACCTTCTTCTTCAGCATGCCGGAGATCATCCTGATGAGGCTCCAGTGTTTGAGCTCACCGGCCTTCTCGTAAAGGTCGGACAGCAGAGATCTCACCGTGGAGCTTTTGCCGTGCAGGTGAGTGTCCCAGTCCATGCCTCTGAGAGAAGAAGACGTACAGACGTAGAGATCAGTCAATATCATCATTCATCGTCTTTAATGGAGTCGCATCGTGACGGAATCGTATCTTGAGATATGGTGAAGCACAAATACGTCGTCTAAATTGATAACAAGGATATACTGACTAAGTTTCATTGTATTTATGGAGAAAGCGGTGCGCCTCACTTGTCTTTGAAGAGGATGTAGAGGATATCAGCCTGGTCCTGCAGGCTCTGCGTGTGCTTCAGCAGCTGGACCAAAGCCTCGTAGTCGACGCCGCCGCTGGCCTCTCTGGGGACGCCGCTCTCTGGCGTGACCGTCATCTCCGGAGCCTGGAGGACAAAGGAAGGAAAGTTAAAGCTGTGGTGGTGGAGAATAAATTAAACAAAAGGAGATGACAACACACCCGAGCTTCCTGCGGTGCTGAGGAGTCTGGGAGGTTCAGGTTGAGAGAGGGCTGAGGGGAGCGGAACAGCTTGTTGGGCAGGTACATGTTGACGTCTGGACAAAAGGAAACAGAGTGAAGCTGAAGTGCCGCGTGGATATTTGGTGCTCGGTGTCGTTTCGATGGCGGATCCGCTCACTCTGCACGTCGAGGTGCTGTGCCTTGTTCATCAGAGACACCATCTCCTTGGTTTTGGTGGCCAGAGCCTTGAACCTCCCCAGACCCCCCGCCTGCTGTTTGGGCTTCTTGGGGGCAGCGTGAGCCAACAGGTGGTCCAGGTACTGAGCGAGGTCGTCAGCCTCTGGAGAGGAGGACAAAAGAGAGATGATGGGGGGGGAATAAAAGAAGGGAAGATGGAGATAAATAGAGAAACAACGAGTCAGTGAGAAAAGATTCAACTCACCTTAATTTAGTGTCCACAGCATTTAGACTAAACCATCTGAGTTATTAATATAATTTAAATATCTAAAGTTATTATAAGTGATGCTATTATTGCCTCGTGTTTTTGGTTTGATTTGTTTCTGTTTGTCAACAAGATTTCAGGAAAACTACTGACCTGATTCTCATCAAACTTATATAAATAATAAGAAATATAATACAAATATAATAAAATTAAAACGTAAAAAAAAAAAAAATATATATATATATATATATATATATATATAAAATAAAAATATAAATAAAAAATTACTAAAAATACAAATTAAATAAAACAATAAAATAAAATAAATATGAATTAATGGAAACAGCTGTAGTGGAGTTCTGCGCTCGCCGAGTTCTACTTTCATAACATGTTTTAACAAGTAACATACATTTTTTTTTAAAAAGGTTTCTTCACCCAAATCCCCCAAAAAACCTATTTCTTCATGCATACTTCCTGGTATTCAGCCATACATACTGAATTGTTTAGAAGCCCGTTAAAATCTTACAGTTAAAACTGTTATAAAGACAGTTTTTAGTGGTTTGGGGTGGCAGCAGCAGTAGTGCATAATTAAAAAACAACATTATCTGCATGGCAACACACACTCAGATTGATCGTTCACAATCAAAACGCCTGCGAGATGTTACACGAGCATCATCTGCAGAAGGCGTTGCATTCACTGACGGACAGCAGCTGTGAGACAAGACAGATGAACACATGCGTGTTTGTTAAATGATGCCGGACGTGCAGAAACACGCAGAACTGTTAATGTTCTTATTGATACAGAACATTGTAATCTGAACACTTAAGATCAGCTTTAAAGTTTTAAAAGTCCAGATGAGCAAAGCATCGTTTCTCGACCTTGTGAAGCCGTGACGCCTGCAGACGGAGATTATTTCTAGCCAACGAGGCCGCCGAGGGGTCCGCACGTCAAAGGTTGAGAAACGTTTTAGAAACAGACGAGCGTCACAGCAGAGAGGATGGGGACAGTCAGTGATGAAGGAACTGGAGACTAAGGAGAGCCGAGTACTTTATTTAACGTCATGTTTCAGGTAGTAAGTATTTAAAGATGTATTATTTTTTTGGATTTTCAAAATAAGAGGTTAGCTGAGTTAGATCAGTCTCAAATACGATGTTAGTTTTGAGTGTATTTGTGGGTTAATCATGGTGTTACCAGAACGTACAGGCAAAGCACAACTACTCTGCCTGTCCGTACTTCTACAGTTGACGTCGTGTATGTATTTTAGGAGTACATACCACGAGGAAGAGTCAAACCAACGATGGGAAACAAACCAGCAGGCCGTGTAACAGTCGTATAAAGACTTATCTTCCATCGCTGGTGTCACCGTTCCTCCCCATCCATCCATCTGTTGTTGTTGTTGTTTTCTTACCATCATCATAACGTAACTCATGCACGTATCCATCGCCGTCACCCTCATCATACTCTTCGTCGTGGCGGCTCATGCTGCCAGAACCCTTACCGTCCAGGAAGCTCAGGTTAGCGAAACAGGAAGTGGTCAAGAACTCCGACAGCTTCCCCGTCTGGATCCTGGAGAGGAAACACAAAAACAACAAACCCCCAAAAAAACAATAAAAGCCTGAAAATTTGCAATACGGAGGTAAAACAGACAAAATAGAAAAACATTTCAACATGTTGATTTCTTGACATAGTTTTAGAACGTTGAAAGAGAAGAAAGACGGAATAGAACAAATGTCAATGATGCTCCACAAACTCAAAAAACTTGAATATTGTGAAATGAAAGGGTATTTTTACTCACTGATCTTCTTACAAATCAGACTTTCTGGATAAACAGTAATTCTGGTCGGAAAATTTAGATTGAATTGCATATTTTTGGCCTTAAAATCCTGACATTTAATCTAAAAACCTTAAATTGAGCGTGTAGATTGTGTGTGTTAATGTCCTCTTCCTGTTATTAAAACCACTGAACTCTCAGCAGCAGCGACACACGAGACAAAACCCCATCTGCGTCTCAGTAAAGCTCACCGTGCTCCTCCATAATATCCGTCGTGCAGCTTCCTCAGTGTGGCCAACACGGCCGGGTCCAGGTCTGTGTGGTCTTCAGCTGAAAACACAACACGAGGAACACTTTCACTCTGCAAAGCACCAACAAAACAGTTGTGATTTTCGTATAAATGAAGAGTTCCCATTCTAAATGAAGCAGGCAGGCTACTCTGTCCTCCTCTTAGTGGACATGCAAAGTGTGTGTGTGTGTGTGTGTGTGTGTGTGTACTGACTCAGCATCGTCTGAGAAATGGGGAACGTGACGGTGGGTCTCCCGGTCATCCTCCATCTGGAGGCGAGGTAGGCGATCTCCGTCCTCAACATCTCCACGATCATTTTGTTGTCCAGAGCCAAGTAGAACTGCTGATGGTCGATGAACTGGAGGGATGTTAGGGGAGAAACATGGGGGGGGGATTTAAACAATGTTTCACCTGGATGATGTTTCGTGACTCGTGAAGCTTCAGTATTTGTTCTCTTTGTGATGTTTCCAAGTTGGCAAACACGTGTAAGCAGAGCTGGAGGACGTTCTTATAACGTTTGAATGTAACTTGACGGTAACTAGCGGCCGTGGTTTGAGCGGCTGAATGATGGTTTCCTCGCTGACCTGAGGGGTGAATGAGAAGATGGTGTTTCTGATGGTGTAGAACTTGGAGGTTCCCAGCACTCCGATTCTCCTGTAGGGCCGTCCCGTCAGACCCAGCCTCGGGTTACGGCCTGCCACAGGAAAACAGAGCGAGTGAATGAAGTCGGGTTAATGCCGGAAAGGTAAAGACAGATGGAAGCGCGTCCGGTGAGGTTGTACCGAGTCTGGCGTAGATGTGGCTGAGCACTCTGGAGGGCTGCACGTGGATCGGGTGGATGTCGGCGACGGTCTCCACATCGATGCCGTTCTTCAGCAGCAGCTCTTTAATCTCCTCCGTCTCTGCAAGAACTGACACTACGAGAGGAAAGAGAAGGTTTGGACGCTGATCTGGGACCGAAACCTGGTCAGGTGTCTCGTGAACTCACCCTGTACCACCACGTCCGGCTTGGGGATGGTGGAGAAACGTCGGTTCAGAGGGTCGATCTCTCCGGGGGCGAGAAATCCCTTAAAAATGATGGAGAAAAAAAGCTTTAAAAAGGTCACAGAATCCACAACTACAGAATTAACAAGATAAAAAACTAATAATGTGTCGGTGGTAATCGGTGGCAGGATTTGTTTCTTTGCGGCTCACCTCGGACAGAAGGTTCCCCAGGATGTACAGAGACTGTCCCCATTTCAGAGGACATTTGCCCAGCGGGATCCTCTCCACAGAGTGGGGGTTCAGGTACTCCTCCTCCACCTGTTAGCACGAGCCAATAAACAAACAGACAATGTTGAATCATAGCAGGTGCAATAGAGAATGTCAGCTTCCCTCAAAGGCCTCACCTTGTCTGGGGGGACGCTGTAGAGCTCCGGCAGCAGCCGAATCCCGTCTTTCTGTTTGATCAGGATGCCCTCCAGAGCCTCCTGGTACTCCTGCACCTGGACCACAAACACAAGATATATATATATATATATATATATATAGATATATAGAAATCACACATTTCACATCCAGGGAGGCTGTCACAAAGAAAAGAGGCGGTACGGGTGAGGGTTACCTGCTCGGGGCTGTTGATGAAGATGCCGTCCAGTATGAGGTAGGTCCAGAACAGAGGCCACTCGCACTCGATGTTTTCAAACAGCTTCAGCTCCGCAGACTCGTAGTACAGGCGGTTTGGATCCTGGGAAATGACATCAGTGTGTCATTAGACAGCTGATCTGCTGCACAGGTATTACTGAGCAAAGACGGAGGTAAAGTTTGGACCCTTTAAGACTATTTCCCCAATAATCCCCCAAAAAGTGTCACGACGCAAAGCATAAAGTACACTTTTGGGGCATTAATAAGCTTTTTAACCTTCCCCAAAAAAGGACTGTTTGATCAGTCAAAGTCGGGCATTTAAAGGGGAACTTCTGTATTTGTTGGACCCTGTTTCCGCATATTTTTTTGTGTTGTTGTTTTAAATGTGTCCAGGATTGATGGCAGATGGCGGCCAATAAACAACTCCTCACCATCTTTGTACGTCCACTAAAAGTGCTTCTTTTTGCCGCTTACAGGCTCAGATTGTTATTACAGTCCGAGTCTGTTCTTGTGTCATGTGACACAACGGTGGAAAGAAAACGCGAGTTAAGAGCCGGAGAGAGGAGAGCCGGTGGAGGACAGAAAGCAGATGGAGGCGACGCTCGATTACAGAGCGAGACTTCTCTGATAGAGACACACAAAACCAAACAGACGGATCGAGTGAAAGGTCAAGAAGGACGTTCTGCGCCTCGGTGGGATCCTTCCAACATGATGTCGGACGCTTAGAATAACACTGAGCTATTTTAGTGGACGCACATTGAGCGCATTAGCGGCAGCCGTCTGCAGCGTTCTCCATCAATTACTGCACTGGATGCATTCGTCACTTAAGACACAAAAAACGTGGAAAAAACAGGGTTGAATAACAGCCGAGTGGCCCTTTAATGCCTGTCTCTGTCTTCATGAATAGATGGTGGACTGTGAAAACACCACAATAATGGAAATAGGTCCAGGGCTTTATTGCTCAAGAGGAACATGAACTCTGACTTTGAAATAATAAACCTATTTTCTCCTCTAAGAGAGAAGCAGTGAAGCTCTTTTTGTTCCGGTCCATTCAACCAAACTGTCCTGCTGAGTCACCGTTACGTAAGAGCTGAGAAACGCTGACCGTGACATACAGAGCAGCTGCACTCAGTGAGCAGAGATTCATTTAGCCGTCTGCTTAATGTAGCTGAAGAAGAGAGGAGAGTTTAGCTCATCAATAGTCAGAACGGAAGTCGTAACGACCTCCTCAAAGTCCACAAACATCTGTCTATTTACTCAGCATCTTCTGCTCTTAATGACCAAAACAAAAAAGGTGCAGATCTCCAGTATTTCTATATATATATATATATATATATATATATATATATATATATATATATAGATCTACTTTCACGGCCGGTTTACCTCTTTGGGTGTTTTGTGTCCATCTCTGAGAAACCTGCAGCAGCCGTATCGCCCCTGAAGAGAGAGGAGACAGGAAGTCAGCGAGGAAACATCCAAACGGTGCGTGTTTGATTCCTTAAGCGTAGAAATACATGAGGTACGAAGCGTGGCAGCATCGGTTAGAAACACACTTTTGGTTCTTTTCCTATATGTAAAGGCCGAGCTCCTCTTTTAAAGAACACAACAACAATGCGCCGCTCTGCACCTGCAGCTTGGAGATGATCTCCTCCTTGGTCGCGTTGACGATGCTGATGTCGTCCACGGCGAAGGCCGGGTACGAGATGATGGCCAGCACTCCGGCATCCACCTCCTTAGACATGGAGGCTCTGGGTAACATGGACGTCAGGATGGACTGGTGAGGGGAGGATAGACCACAGTCATAAGCTGCTTTACGACAGAGTGAGTGTGAGTGCGAGTGTGTGTGTGTGTGTGTACCTGGCAGTGCTGGATGTCGTCAGCCAGCGCGTGGACCACAGATCCAGGTCCTCCTTTGGCTCCGAACAGGTTCAGGTCGTCCAGAGCCTCCAGAGCCGCCTGGAGGACGTACAGTCATGTGACTCTCAATGACTACAGCAGTACGTCTACTCGAGTACTTTACTTATGTACAATGTTGAGGTACTTCTTCTTTACTTTAGTAGTTTCATTTGGTGCTACTTTATACTGGAAACACTATTTTTTACTCATTTACATGTATTTGATTAGTTACTTGTCAGATTTAAATTAATAAAATTATAAATCAACTAATAAATTATAAAATATCATTATAAAATAATAAGCTCCACCTTTACCATCTTCAACAATAAAGTGATTAACACATTAATCGATCAATAATTATAATACAATAATATATTTTATATGATTCTGAAAATTAGCCATGCTGCACAACAAGTACTTTTACTTTTAAGTACTGTGAGTATATTCCTATGCTAATACTTTTGTACTTTTAATTGAGTACGTGTTTGAATGTAGATACTTGAAAAATACACCACAAATTATTTCTACACCGTAGTATTGCTTCTTTTGAAGTACAATATCTAAATACGTACTTCGGTACACATACTGTTGATTACAACACAGTATATGAAGTATAAAACATAATACAATCACACTGTTTGGCTTTTATAAATACTAATATCTACATGCAACTACTGGAGCATGTCCTGCAGAGGGGCCTCTTTCCCAAGTCTGAAACTAAATTGTGTGTGAGTGTGTGTGAGTGTGTGTGTGTGTGTGTGTGTGTACTTGGAGTACTGTGTTATTTCTGAGTCAGGAGAACCTGATACCTCCTCTCCACTGCGGGCCGAGGACGAGGAGTGAGCGTCCTGTTATGTGAGAACTTCATCACAAGAATCTCATATTTATTATGATGACTTATATGTTTTTAATATTTCATAATATTAAAAACATTTAGCTTAAAAATGGCTCTTTGAGAGAGATTCCAACTGAAGGTTCAGCAGCACCAAGACTAAGTCCTTCTAAAGGTCCATCTAAAGGTCAGCCTAAAGGCCGCACCGCAGCAGCTGTGTGTGTGTGTGTGTGTGTGTGTGTTGACCTTTGCCATGCCTATAGAGCTGGCGTTGATCTCAGTGATGCCCTGGTTGGTCTTGTCCCCTCTCTCCCACATCCCATAATCCTGTGAGGAACCAGAAACAGACGTTAATGGTTACAGAACAGATGAGTCGGCGATTATTGAAAATGGACGCAGGAAGTGAACGTACGGCCACTTTGTAAGCCGCCTCAATGTAGAACATCAGGTTCTGAACAACGTCCACTTCATCCTGTGTGTAGACGATGTGGAGACCTGACACACACACACACACACGTGCACAGAAATGTACTCAGGATGAGCTGCTTTCCCCCCCAAAAGTACCTGCAGTGCTCCCTCATACTGCAGAAACGTGTCTCTTGTGTATATTTACCGGATGCCGTCATCTGAGCGAGGAAGAGCAGGAAGAGCGAGGTGGCGTCCACCTGCAGGTGACCCCACTCGTCGTCTCCGACCACCGGAGCACAGGTCCTGGTGTTGTACTTGGCGTGGAGCGAGTCTGAGGTACTCCGGCTGTATTTAAACTTCTCCACCTTATCCAGCTGCAACAGAATGACAGGTGAGGCTTCAACAGCTGCATGAGCTGCTCACACCTCCGTCCAGAGAGACAGGTAACAGATGTAGAGATGTGCATCAAAAAGAGGTTTTTAAGAGCAACAACAGAAAGTACATGATGTAATCGTGTGTAAGTGTGTATTACTGTGACACCACACACCTGCCTCATTATGCCCTGAAGGATTCCTCTCATCAGCTTCACCACGCTCTGGAGGAACAGGTCAACAATGTTGAACAGAGTTCAGGCAGAGAGACACTCTGGACTAAAGTATATTCTCACACACTCTCTCACACACACACACACACACACACACACACACACACACACACACACACCTGCTCCAGCTCGTAGGCCTTGGCCTTGTCCTCGTCCCGGTCGGCGTTCTTCCTGTAGGCCAGACTGAGGGCCCACACAGACAGGACGCAGTAGACGTTGTCTCTGACCCACGAGTGAGGCTGGTCAGCGCTGCCCGGCAGAAGACCGGTGACCGGGTCCTGTAGGACACATACAGAGGGGGTCACTGGTCGTTATTTAGTTAAGTTTAATATCTTCAGGTCAGAGAATCGACCGATAAAAAAGTGCAATGCATCCCAAAACTACATTACCCATAAGCCCCGGTGCTTCCTGCTGTAAAGACAGACAACACACTTTCATAACAGAAGAACATGCAGATGAGGAAATGTGAAACGATGCAGTTTGATGAGGAACTGGAGTAGAATGTGTTCTTTGTGTACTGCATATAATACACATTGGTTTCCTCTCTGTAGCTGCTGCTGCAGCTCTTTGCTCCATGTTCAGGTTTTACTGAAGCCGTCTTTCACCATCAGGTCCGGTTTCATCACTGACGGAGAGAAATGTCACAGAAACGTTGCACAAACAACGAGAGAGTCGACATGTTGGACCTCTTCTTCTTCTTCATGGGAAAGTGATGATTCATGTGTTTAGAGGAGCAAACGTAGAGTCCCTTAACAAAACATATACACAGATATTTATATATCTGTGTATATATATTGAGCGGAGAGGAACAGACGGATAGATTTACTGTGCAGCCTCAGCTCCCAGTGAGCACATTACGGTCATTAGTGCAGCGATCCGGTGAGCTGAACACTGGCTGGAAGCCATTTTGGGTCAGATTCAAAAGGTGAGCTCACACGACGTTTGTCCTCTTCTTCTTCTATGGAGACGTTTATCGTAGTTTCTACACAACTAAAGAAATAACAGATGTTTGAATGATGTAGTCAGAGTCCCGCCCTCTAAACCAGCCTCTATTCCATTTAAATATAATACATTTAATATGTTTTCTCTCCTTAAGTCTTCAGATTCTATCTAGTTTTTGCAGCTTGTTGTCCTGTTAGACTTCTATCTTTGTGAGGACCAAAGTGAGTTTTAGGTGTTATGTGGACTGTTTTTAGACCCGTCATCACTTCTTAAAAAGGCTATTTGAGAGATTTTAGAGTCAAGTTTGGAGTCTAAGGATGTGTGTAAGGATGGGACGATGTTGGATTTCGATTGGGATAAATAATTAAATTAATTTACATAATCTGGATGATCGTGAATATGAAAAAGCTGCAGAATCCATCATGTTTTAGTGTCAGTTAAAGCATATTTATCATGATTATCACGATTATTTTGGCGAGGATGATCGTGACATGATTAGATAACCTATTGGAGTTATGTTTAGATGAGGTTTGTTATGGTTTATGTTCTGTCCATTATAATTTAAAAGTATGTGGACGGTTAGTGGGACTGTCCCAATAACAGTCCCCCCCCATTCCCAATGTACGGTGAGGAAACACCAGAAGAAGGCCTTGTGATGGATACAGCTCCAAAAGACAGATTTAAGAGATACAATAAATAAGAAAAAATGTCAATAAATAAAGCTTATTTAAAAGCCAGAATAAATTAAAGGAAACATACAATAAATAATATTTAAATTAAATTAATAAAGCTGAATTTAAAGTCCAGACTACAAAGGTAACATACAATAAATAATATTTAAATTAAATTAATAAAGCTGAATTTAAAGTCCAGACTACAAAGGTAACAAACAATAAATAAATATATATAGAAATAAAGCTAACTTTAAAGGCCAGATTAAAAATATAAAGTACAATAAATAAAGCTAAAATAAAAGCCAGACTAAAAGGTTAACCAATAATAAATAAAAATAAAGCTCAATATATATATAAAAATACACACACACACACACACACACACACACACACACAGACTTAAAAAGGTAACAAACAATAAATGTTAAGAAAGATAAATAAAGCTCAATTTAAAGGCCAGACTAAAAATGTAAAGTGCAATAGAGCATATAGTGTGTGTGTGTGTGTGTGTGTGTGTATGAGACCTGATGCATTGCGTAACGTGCACTGACTTCACCTCCTGCATGAGCACATCAGAGTGAGTTCTCACCCACCAGACTACTTTGATATGACTCTTAATATTGAACATTGAACACGTGAAACACTCACTTGGTGCCTCAGGATAGTCTGGTGCACCATCCGGGCATAGTTGTCCAACTTAACGCCGGAGTTGCTCCTGCTCCTCATGATTGACAGGTCCAACGGCTGAGCGCACTTTAAGAGGGGGGGGGGGTTAAAGTATTCAACAACTGAAACTCGCTAAATCCTCGACGGTGAAGTCATTTTATCGACTAGAAAAGTTGCTGCATGGCTGGATGTCCCGATAAATGCTGCTCAACGGCGGCGGCAGCAGCAGTGACGAGCGAAGGACCCACAGCGAGGGTTGTAACCTGAAGCTGCCGTAAAGCTGCTGACAGGAAGCAGGAACAATACAGGAAGTTACGAGATGGGGCCTTCAGAATAAAGGCGTGTCAGAAATAAAAAATAAAACAATATAAATATATCATTACTGACAGAGTACTGACACAGTATTAAGAATAATACTTCTGTTACACGTTAGTTTAAATACATATCTTCTTTTTTGTACTTTACTCTCACTGCAGTATTGGATTTCCGTGCTAAGCTGTTATTACATATTTTATTTTGAATTTCTTAAACGGAAGAGGTAATCCTCGTTTTAAATAACTTGACACTATTGTACCCTTGAATGAGTGTACCCCCACTCACTTGAGTGCATGAAATGTGGTTGGTACAAGTCAGCTGTTTTTGGCGCCCTCTAGCGAAAAATAAGTTATAGGTATATTTCTTTTATTTTATTAAAATATAGTTTTTTTATACATCCATATCTTAATAAATATATCTTACAATATCACACATTTATTGAGCAAAATCTGTTGTCTAATCGTTGATGCAAACTCTTTTGAAAAGTTAGCTTGTTAGCTGCTTATTGAGAAGGGAAGTGAAAAGACTACATGAAATCCCAGAATACTCCTCGCGCTGTGTGCGTTCCACTTTGAAAACGTCCGCGCGCGGAACGTTGGATTCGATGTTGGTGACCGTTAGGAGGACAGTTTAGGACGCAGCTCTCCGTCGTATTCGTGCCCAAAAATCGTTAAATTAAAGAAGTGACGAAACACTATGAAGTTTATTGTATTTAACATTTTATAAATTACATTTTTATCATTGTTGTGTTTCGTTAACGTCTCGAGTTGAGGTGAACACCGGCAGTGAACCGACTTTACCGGGGGGAATGTTGACGGTGTAACACCACACTTGAGAAGAAGACGCCGCTCGGAAATCTCTTCACTCTAACATTTTGTTTTTAGCTCCATTCTCCATTCAAACATTACTTATATTTTAATACATCGTAAATGAGTCACAGGGGAGACCGTGATGATGACGACAGCTGCGGTAGTAACCGGAAGGTCGCGTATGTCTACAGCCCGGAGTACATCGAGCATTGCGACAGTTTATCCAAAGTGCCAAACCGGGTGAGTTGGACCGAACGTTAACGAGCAACCTTTGTATTCACGTCGCAAGCAACCGTTGTGCTCGCGAGCAGCCGTTTGTACTCGCGAGCAACCGTCAACCGTTGTGCTCACGAGCGACCGTTGTCCTCACGAGCAACGGTTGTGTGAGAGTATAAACCAGAGCCAACGTACAGTGCAGAAACAAACCAATACAATAAGTGCAACAAACTAATACTCACGAGCAAACGTTGTGCTCACGAGCTCTGCTTTGTTGTTGTCGTCATCGTCCAGAACTTGTAGTAATTGTTGTTTATCATTTCCTGTTATCTTCCAGGCGAGTATGGTCCACTCACTGATAGAAGCCTACGGACTCCTGAAGCACGTGAGGTGAGTGACGGCTGATGACACCACGATTAAAACTCATTTACGTTGGAGATAAACAGCTAAACATTCATGGGAAGATGTCAAATATATCTTCCTGCTTGCACAGTTCAAGCTCTGGTTCAGCTGAATGATGCAGATTCATCTTATTTTGGAGGGAAGTGTTGCATAGGTTTTTGCAGAAACCTGTATGTTTTATTGTCTCTCCAGCACCATTAAACCTCAGGTGGCCTCCATAGAGGACATGGCCAAGTTCCACACGGACTCCTACCTGGAGCATCTCCACAAGATCAGCCAGGACGGAGACAACGACGACCCGCAGTCGGTCGACTACGGCCTGGGTGAGGAAAGCAAAGACCTCACCATTACAGCGTTATTTAAAACGGAGGGAGTAAAGTGGTACAAGTGTTCGTGCAGTACTATGTTATCGACAGCAGGGGGCACTATAACACCAGATTCAAGCAGAGAGCACAGCTCCTTATCTGAGCTGAACCCTCAAAGACATCCCTCCATGTTTGTTGTTCTTGGATGAGCTGCCTCTACGTCCTTCTCCGAATGTTTACATTTCTAACTTCAGACCGATCCTCAAGTTCAACCCTCCTTGTTTTCGTTTCCTTGACTCGTTCCCTCCTTTCATCCCCCCCCTCATCCATCAGTGCTCTTCTTCGTGTCCTCGACTCGTCCCGCCGTCGCTTCCTCTCCCGGGTTCATCAGCAAACGGCTCCACCTTTTCCTGGATTGAGACGCTTTCTCTCTCTGCCGTCGCTCTCCTTCACCTCTTTAGTCTATTGTTACGTCACACTTTGTTCTTTTCCTTCGCTCGAGTCCATTCATCTCCCTCACTTCTGTCTCCTTTCCTTCCTCCTTTTTTTTTCTTCTTTTATTTACAGCCCATCAGTTTCATTTAACCTCTTTTATGAGGACATGATTGAGCCTTGAGAATTGCGGCCTGTACAGAAATAACACTTAAATCTCAGATAAATATATTTATTTCAGATATTTATCTCCCCCCCCCCCCCTCCAGGTTACGACTGTCCAGTGGTGGAGGGGATATACGACTATGCGGCAGCAGTAGGGGGCGCTACGCTGACAGCAGCCCAGTGTCTGGTGGACCAGAAGTGTGAGGTGGCCATCAACTGGGCGGGGGGGTGGCACCACGCCAAGAAGTAAGCCCACCTGCGGATCCCGCTCACCTGCAGCCGTCCTCGTCAGTTCCACCGATGGGCCTGAGGGGGGCGCTCCAGGTAAAAGGTCACGCTTTTTTAAAAACGCACACCTGTTTTATTTGTGTCCGTCTCACAGGGACGAGGCTTCGGGTTTCTGTTACGTGAACGACGCCGTGTTGGGGATCCTCAAGCTGAGGGAGAAGTACGAGAGGGTCCTCTACGTGGACGTGGACCTGCATCACGGAGATGGTACGAACAGAAAGATCAAACAAGTAGAAAAAAGATCAAACAAGTAGAGAACTCAATCTGTGGTGTCTTCAGAGGGATGTTTATCAGGCTGAAAAACCTAAAATAGATCCCTCCAGCATTTGTTAGTGGAGGTGCACAGGTTTAAAAACATCATCGTCACTTTTGGGTTTTTTATTTTTATTTGATTTTACTAAATTTTTTTTTACTAAATTTTATTTATTTTATTTATTTTGTATCGACTGTCTCACTGAGCTTTCTGTTATTGTTTTTATTTTCTTGCTTTTGCTGCTTTGTCTGTCAAAGCAACTCTGTTTTTAAAGGTGCTATATAAATAAAGTTATTATCATTATATATCATAAAGCACCTAAATATATATATTTTGTTGCTCTTTCTTTCTCCTCGTCTCACTTCAGGTGTGGAAGATGCCTTCAGCTTCACGTCCAAAGTCATGACCGTCTCCCTCCACAAGTTCTCTCCTGGATTCTTCCCAGGTCTGTCCTTACAGATGTTTAAAATATATACTTTAAAAGATAACCTGCGTTGTGAGGCAGTGTACAGTAAGACCTGTGTGTGTGTGTGTGTGTGTGTGTGTGTGTGTGTGTGTGTTCAGGTACGGGTGACCTGTGTGACACGGGGCTGGGTAAAGGCCGCTGGTACGCCGTCAACGTCCCGCTGGAGGACGGCATCAAGGATGACCGATACTACCAGACCTTTACAAGGCACACACACACACACAGAGACAGAGTAACTCTCCTGAGGGCCCTCAGGCTCCTGATTGGCCCCCAGCCTGCATCCATATGTTTACGTCTGGCTCGTTTTTGTTGTGCAGCGTGATGCAGGAAGTGCGAGCGCAGTTCAACCCGGAGGCGATGGTCATGCAGCTGGGAGCCGACACCATGGCGGGTGACCCCATGTGCTCCTTCAACATGACCCCGGTGGGGGTGGGCAAGTGTCTGCAGCATGTCTTGGAGTGGCAGCTACCCACACTGCTGCTGGGAGGAGGTACGCTGGTTGTGTGTTTATCTGTCCACATGTTGGTGCGTATGAAGCATGTGTGTTTGTGTGTCCCTGTACGTGTACTATTAAGGTACTCCTTATGAAAGGTGGATACTGTCATATATCCCTTGTGTGTGTGTGTGTGTGTTTATGTTTGCTTTGAATCTCAGTGATTCTCACACACACACACACACACACACACACCATGCTCTGTTCCAGACCCCTCAGCCAGATGATAGCTACTACTTATACGACACAATGAAGCCATTTTACTCAACTACAATCCCACCTCTCTTCCTTTCTTTCCCTCCCTCTCTGTCCTACATACTTTCTCTCTCAGCTATATCCTCCTCTCCTCCTTGGTTCTTGTCATTCTCTTGATTTCACTCGAGTCCATCCTCTTCACTTCTTCTCAGAGAGAGAGACAGAGACAGACAGAGAGATTATGTTTACTTCCTGTTTATGTATCCTTCTAATTGACTGTTAATTGAAATGAAACGAGTCCACGCAGATGAATTTAAGACTTTTTTTTGCCTCACTTTCAACGGGTTTATATCTCCTCAGCGTCTGCCAGACATGCTTCATGTGACCACATGCTGATGTTTCCTCTTCATACCTGTCCGTTTCTCCTCTTCCTTCACCAGGAGGTTATAACCTGGCTAACACGGCTCGTTGTTGGACCTACCTGACTGCGGCGGTGCTCGGAAAGACTCTCTCCTCTGAGATACCGGACCACGAGGTACGACCACGCTCTCTCTGTCTGTCTCTCTCCGTCTCTCTGTCTCCGTCTCTCTCATGGCCACAATCACGCACATTCACATATTCCCACATGAACACAAACGCGCTCATTCATTGTACTGTCACACCAAAAACCCCACAAACACACCCCCTTGTGTTCACTGTCTGCTGAGTCACTCCATCTAATCAAAGATGGCCGCCTGCTTCTCAATAAAGGAGTTTGTCTGCAGGTGACTCAGACCGAGTGTGTGTGTGTGTGTGTGTGTGTGTGTGTGTGTGTGTGTGTGTGTGTG